AATTATTATTATTAAATTATATTATTATAATTATTATATTTACTTACATTTTTAACATAGTCATACAATGTGCAATATAGTCATTTTTTAAATATATTATAAAGTGAGTCTATTTACATGTTATTTTAACTAAAAACATAAAATCTTCTAGAGACCCACATGATTCTCACCTAACTCCTTAGGATATCAATTTAATTTTGTCTACATTTATAATTTTCATTTTGTAGCAAGTAAGAGTAAAAAATTTTACTTAAAAAATATATTATGAGTAACAAATTACTTACTTTTTACCTGATTTATTTATTTAAGTAAAAAGTTACTATTTTTATACCCAAATAAATAAATATCATATTTTTATTAAAGTTTGTCATAAATTAATTATTTATTTCATTTTTTTCTATAAATTTCTTCTTTGATCTTATTATATTATGATTTTTACCTAACTTATTATCTTTTCTATTTTCACTTAATTACATATTTGTAGTACAAACTACTATAAAAATAGCATTGTGATTACTTTTTTTTTAAAATCAAAGTTGACTCACTCATAATGTTTTTGTACAATTAAATTTTAAAGTAATTAATAATATTAACTAAATAAATACATAGTGATTCATATATGAAAACATCTAAAATCATTATTAGGACAACAAATTAAGTTGCCTACTAATAAATTTCTACATGTAAAAATAAAAAGTTATATGTTCAGGTCACATAACATATGTATATATATGTATAAAGAGAGTTAAAAAATAGAAGACAGTAGGTTCATATTCTATAATTCAAAATAATATTTAAAAAATTTGATAATGAAAAATTTTCTCTAATCAACTAATGCATTCAAATATGATATATTATAAAAATTCTCATGATTTCATCATAAATAATATAGTTATAATATCATGTAAAATTATAAATATAATTATAATATATTATTTTTTAAAAAATATTTAAAAGTTAATTATTTAATATCACAAATATTAAAATTCTTCACTTTGATCTTAAATCAAAGTTTAAACCTCTAACATATTATAAAGATATTTTGAATAAACCATTAAATAAAAATAATTATTCATATTGTAATGCATCATAACAATAAATTTTATCATATATATCCCGCAACCTTATTACCGTATCATTTTCGATGATTCCACATGCACATGGTATGCCTTTACGAGGCACTTGCTAAGTGCACTATATGTTAGCCAGAACTAAAGTCCAATTCTTTATGATATGATAGTGTGTTTTTGGAACTGTTACAGGGTGTTGTAGTTATATTTATAATTATAATTGTGTTGTATTATAAATGTAATTAAAAGTTTTTTTAATATTTAATTATTTATATCTTAAAAATATTGTGAATAATATATAGTAAATTTTATTAATTATTAATTCAAATTTAAAAATATTATATGATATATAATTATTAAAATAAATAATATTTATTATTTATTA